AGACAGGGTCTTGCTCGGTCAGCTGGGATAGAGTGCAGTGGTGTCATCATAGCTCACTGCAACCTCGAACTCCTGGGCTCAAGCAATCCTCCTGCTTCAGCCTTCCAACTAGCTGGGACTACAGGCATGTGCCATCATGCCTGGCTAATTTTTTCTGTTTTTTGTAGAGATAGGGTCTTATTCTTGCTCAGGCTGGCTTCAAACTCCTGGCCCCAAGTGATCCTCCCGCCTCAGCCTCCCAAAGTGCTAGGATTGAGTGAGCTACTTTGCCCAGCTCCAACACACTTTTAAAAGTCAACATTTATTCATTGTTTATTCTAAGAATTATTGAATAGCTATAATTATAACCTGAATTTTCTTAAATATAAGATAAAAATAAACTTATTTTCATAATTTGCATTTTATTCTCCAGTCAAACCTTTTAGATAATTTTTATTCATTATTTACTATTAAATCTTGGGCCTAATTTTAACCAGGTTTATTTTCATTGATTATCTACTTAACAATAAATCTTTGATAAAAAGAACTTGTCCTGTGTCTTTTTTCAGAGTCCATATTATTGTTTCCTTCTGGTTAAACTTTGTCTTACAGCCTATGAGAAAGTTGATCTGAAAAAACTGATGGATAAAGTAGAAGCTGTTACACATGAGAAAGAAGTGATCAAATATATATAATTCTGGCTTTTTTGGTCAACTGATTTTATTTTCCTTAAATTAAACATTTTTAAGAGAATGATAACAAGTAGCAAGGATATACACAGGTTATATATTAATAAAAAGGGCAAAAGCAAGTTAGTTTTAAAACTAAAGTTGGGCCTTTTAAAATATGAAGGAAAAAACTTACTTGAATGAGAAAGTAATTTATATTTTAAAGACTACTAAAGGCAAATGAAACATACCTCATTTAAGAAGGTCAAAAAAAATTCTATCTCTTAAAAGGCTAAGAATATCAGAGAGTTCCTTTCACTTGTTTTGTTAAGGATTTTGATTAAGTTAGAGATACAAGTTCATTCTTATTCAGCTTTATAATTATCTCCAGACAGGAATATTGAGAAAATTGGCAACACTTTCTAACACTTGAGAGTGTACTTTTCACATATTTAGTCAGCTGTTTGCTGATAAAAGAATTTTAGACTAAATGTAAGAAATAACTTGTAAAATATCAACCTAACTTCCAGTCAATATCTTTCCTCTTATACTAAAAATTGCTATGAGAATATAGCAAGGAATGTCGATCATGCAAAGAAGACAAAAGGGAAAAAGAAACCAAATTGGGTTAGAAGGCCAGGGAAAGACAGTTGGGTAAATGTATCGTTGGCAAATTTCCTCAGCCTTTCAAAATGGAAAGTAAAGTAAGACAAGGAGATAGAAGGGAATCAGACACATTGGCACGCCCTTTTTTCCACCCTCGAACTTGCTGAAAAAGCGCAGTTAGCTACACAGAAGGATCAAGAATAGCCATATGCCATGTTGTTCCCTTTACTTATTAAGCTGCATAGCTTTCAGTGTTCTTATCCATAGACTAAATTCTGTTGAGCCTAAGTTCGATTGCATAAGTATGGACGTCAGATTTGAAATTCAGGGAAATGTTGAATTAAGGCCAAGTTATGGTGGCGTCATAAAGTAAATCTCCAGCTTAAGTGAACAAAAGTAGGGAATACTAAAGGGATCAGGAATGTTCTCATGGGACAATCTCCAGTTTCCTATTCCCTGATGATTTTCACTGTCATTAGCTGTTTTTCCAAAAATAAGCTCTTTATCTGAAAAAAAATTTGTTTAGCGTATTCTTGTATTTTAAAGAACTCCTGGGAAAAGTCATAACAGATGTGTATAAATTTTTTTGGTCTGCGTTATTTGGCTTGTACTTGGCATTTCTATTAAGAGTATGTGAAGCAGTAATTATAGGTGTCAGGCAAACCAATTTATCAGAGGAGGCCTTGTATTTTAAACAAGAAATTATAAGGGATTACAATTGTGAATCCTCACCCTTTCTTCATAAACTACTAAAAGAACTTCCTCTGGCATTAGTAAGCAAGAAACAAATGGGTAGCCTATTTGGCAGAGCCATCCAGATAACTGTTGTTATGTACTTCACTTTAATTAAAAAATCAATTAAAACAGGCAGAAATACAGACGGAAAAGAAAAAATCAAGACCCAGAAGTGAACTCTTGCCATATGGTCGAGAAGACTTCAACAAGCGTGCCAAGAACGACATCATGAGGAAAAAGACAGGACTCTTTAACAAATGGTATTAGGATACATGCGAGGAAAGCTGGAGATTACTTCATAGTGCAAAACAATAACTTTTACCTGTAACCTTAACACCATGTACAGAGAATATAACTCAAAGCAGGACTAAAGACCTACAATGTAAGACCTAAAAACTATAACTCCTAGAGGGAAACTCTTGATAAATGTATTGTATCTACTGAACAACAAACTATTCTAACATTAGTCTGGCGGGTTTATCAGTAAAACTAAAGGACTATTCTTGATAGAGTAAGTCTTACATTTCTTTTGATGCTTTTTTGAATAAGAAATGATTTCACCAGTGTTCTATAGACCCAAAAACTATTAATAAATTGGACACAACAAAAGCAGGGTGAAGTATTCAAAGCATCAAGGGTAATAAGTTCATTGCAAAGCAGCTAATCACATCGGTTTCGATAATAAGAAGAATATGTCATATGTTCATTGTGAATTTTATTGAGATAACCATGCTAATCTCTGAATAATTATATGGCCAGATTTTCTTCTGCACTGTCTGGGCTATTCCAAGTATTAAGAATACATTCCATTACTAATTAATTACTAATTGCCATGTTATCTCATTCCATTACTAATTCAGTTTCAATTTACAGTGACTATCGTTTGTCAGGAAATCTCAGATTCTCTTTCTGCTTCAATTCTGGATTGATAGAAAAGGGACTAAGCAGCACAAGTAATTTGTGATAATTTGAAAATTAGTGTTTCTGTAATATTTACCTGGAATCTTTGCCTCTGTTTAAGGAGAAAAGATGGATACTGGTGACTACAAAATATTTGTAAGAAAACACGGGATTGAGCTTACAGATACGGAGCAACAAAGCAGACTGCTGAAAACAGCCTATTGATGTGAAGCCACATAAATGTCACATGCCTTCCAGGGACTATGGTTTAATGGGCCTATGTGAGCAATTCTGCAATCTCTGTCATAGTAGCAATTTCAACTACAAGAACTCCATAGAAGTTAATAGAAAGGACTTATTGACTTGAAAAGAAAATCCGTATCAGTTACTCTTTAAATCACAACTGAAAAGTCCTCACTACATTGCCATGATATAGTTGTCTAGGGTGACAAGTATTACTCCATCAGATGTGATAAGTTTTTTTTTTTTCTTTTTTAATATGAGCAAGCAAGAAAAGAGAGGAGTAGAACACATACGAATAAAACGAGAAGAAATATTTTGATACTTTTTTAGTGTTGCCAACACGGAAGGAGATAACATATGTCTCTAATACCAGAAGAATGGGATAGGGTTTGTCATTGTGGCAAGAGTTCGCATTCTTAAATGTCAACTATTGTGTGATTATAAGAGCCAGATTAAGTTTTAAAGCAAATTATTAAATAGTATCTTTCTGCAATAATTAATCTTATAACTGTTTTGATGGAATCTCCCATATCATTTTCCAGAGATCTCAGAATATACCTTTAATAAGGCTCATGAAAGGTGTTTCAAAACAGGTTGCTGACAGACGGATGAAGCATAATAAAAGTGAGTACGCACAGGTGAGAAGCATATAAAATATCTTTGAGTGTTAAATTTATATTGCAATGAATAGGAATATTTTGCTTCCTGTAGCACATCTGTATTTTCCTGATAATAACTTTATTTAGAATGGCAGGTCTCTACTGGCTTGTAGTTTCAAAACTTTCTCATAAAAAAATTTCGTGATGAAGTATAAACAGAAAGAAGAATATAGATGAGATAGATAGAAAAGAGGAAAAAGGATGAAGGGGAAAGAACTTTGAATTTATGTCCAAATTTGACCAACGAATGCATGAAGAACAATCCTGAGAGTGAGATGTTAGACGAGACATATACAATCTCTCTTCCTTTGTTAGGAGATGATTGGTGCTCTCCAGTTACAATTGCTCAACCTTCCCCCCCCACTAACGTTTTTTCATGGATAGGATGTTTAAGTTTGAGGGAAACAAGTCTTAATTCTAACTCTGCTTTTAGCTCCGGTACAGAGGTTGAACAAATCTATATAGTTTTACTCGCTTCTTGATAATGTTAGCAGTGGTAATACTAGGTTATGAAGGTCATTCTCTGTTTATCGGTGCATATATTCATTTAAAAGTAACACTTGTAAGTTGAAGAAATGGAAGGATACATTATGTGAATATTATTTTTAAAATTTGTAGAACATTAGAATCTAAAATAGTTAAGGGATTTTATTTATATCACTTATTTTTTCGCCTTTTTCTTGTCATATTCACAGTAGAAAAGTTAAGTATAAATAACCTGGGCTTGCCATTTGGAGAGTCATGGACATCAAAGCTTGACAGAAGAGGAATTTGATATGAAACAGATCTTCTGCAGTGATGGTGAGCATTATGGAAAACACTGGTGATTAAACAGTGTGTAAGCTTTCAGAATTAATATGACAACTACCTCAAAAGTTTAATTTTACTCTTGCAAAAGACATTGGATAAGCGTCAGAAGAATCACAGTAAAACAATAAGGGCTCTTTATTTTTGTTCCTGTAAATTCGCTCATAACTTCTCTTTAATCTCTATCTGTTTATCTTAGGGTAGGTGACACGCGGGCCGGTGCAGTAGATGGAAGTAGAGGATTTATCTATCACTGATTTTAAAAAATAGGACCTACCACCTGTTTTGTTAATAACTATATTCAGTTAGTAATACTGGCATATTCAGGATATAAACCAGATTGTTCAGCTAGTTCTCATTCCTCCTTATTTCATGGACAGTGCGGCTTTCTTGTTCTTTTGTGTTACCTATAATAGACAAATCATAGCGAATATTATGTCTAATATCTATTATTTTTTAAATAGACTTGTAAAAAAAGTCTATAGTATACTGTTTATAAACATAAGAAATGTCTTGGAGATATATGATACCAAACGTTAGTATGGGTAGTGGTGCTAACAAAGAGTGAGAGAGGTAATAAGAGGAATCATTACTTTTCTTTGTGATGATTATGTAGTTTTTAAATTATTTTACAAAGTTGCCTGTTAATTATAATTTTTTAACTTGATTTTATTTTGTTTTAAAATTTAAAGTGACTACCTAAATGTAAAGAGACGGTGGACAGTAGCTGAGTTTCTATCCACTGGTTGGTCGAGAGATCCAAAACTGACAGGTAAATAAGTCAGTCTCTAGGTCAAACGACTTTTCTCAACATCGAGTTCTGCCATTGTGGCATGCAGAACATGCAATATAAGTCTTTCCAAATATTATAGTTAAGAGAGCATAAGTTCTAAAGAGGAGAAGTAAGAGTTGGAGGACTGTGGAATCACACCGAAGCCACTAAAACTATGGAAGTGGCAGAACTTAGACCGTTTAACTAATTCAAGAAGAAAAGTCCCATGAATAATGCACATGATAAGTCCCTCAAAATAGCATGGATTGGACTCAAAGAGTTTAGAAAGAAACCCTAGAAAAAGCTTACATTTGCGAAAAGTATTTTCAATATTTTTGTAAGGAGCAGAAGATGCTGATTAGTATGCAATAGATAATTTTGCAGAAAACCACCATCGCAAGACACTTTTAATGTTTATTAATTAAATTTATTTATTTTTTTATTTTGTAGACAGGGTCTTGCTCGTCAGCTGGGATACAGGATTGTCAGATCATAGCTCACTGCAACGTCGAACTCCTGGTCAAGAATCCGTCGCTGCTTCAGCCCCAAATGGGAGACTACAGCATGTGCCATCGACATGCCATGCTAATTTTCTTGTTTTGTAGAGATAGAGTTTATTCTTGCTAGCTGCTTCAAAATCCTCCGGCGCGAGTGATCCTCCGCTCTCAGCCTCCAAAGTGCTGAGGATTGAGGAGTATTTGCCCAGCTCCAACACAACTTTTAAAGAGTCAACTTTGATTATTGTGTATTCTACAGATATTTGAATACTATTAATTATAACCTGAAATTTTCTGTAATATAAGGATAGAAATAAACTATTATAAATTTGCTTTGATTCTCCAGTCCAGAACCTTGTGTAGAGTGATTTGAGTCTAGTTAGCTATTAAAGTCTTGGGCCTATTTTAACCAGGTTATTTCATTGATATCTAGCTTACACAATAAATCTTGATAAAAAAGAACTTGTCCTGTGTCTTTTTCAGAGTCCGAATATCTATTGTTCCCTTCTGCGTTAGACTTTGTCTTACAGCCTATGAGGGGAAATTGATCTGAAAAAAACTGAATGCGATAAAGTAGAAGCTTTACACATGAGAAATAAGTGACCAAAGTATATATAATTCTGCTGCTTTTTTGGTCACTAGATGTTATTTTCCTTAAATTAAGACAGTTTTAAGAGTATGATGAACAAGTGCAAGGATATACACAGGTTTATAGTTAATAAAAAGGCAGC